GCTTTTTAAATCTAAAGTTACAGAAATCTTCAAGAAATCCCTACTAATAGACAATCTCCCTTAATAATAAAAAGCACTAGATTGAAACAAATATGTAGATGATGAGGTTTCCAACGTAGTTTTTATCATTAAGTGTGCCCCATTTGTGTCTGTATAAATCAAAAAAACCTTTCATAATAGCAGAAGTATCCTGTGTGTATCATAGAAATCAATATTGCTTTGTTCTTTATTGTGTGACTGGTATTTATGCTGTTTATCAAAACTTATTTTTCTTCAACTTTATTTTTTTTACCCATATTAGGGAAAAAAAATATTTCAGTCCATTTTTTGAAGACCAGCACAGTTCTATCATGATTTTTATTATACACTAGAGGTCTGGTGCACAAAATTCGTGCATGGGTAGGGTCCCTAGGCCTGGCCAGTGATCAAGGTTAATCTGTAGGGCAACTAGTGGTGCCTGTGGGCTGGGGGCAGCTCCTGCATTGAGCATATGCCCCCTGGTGTCAGTGCACATCATAGCGACAGGTCGTTCTGCCAGTCATTCTGCAGTTTGGTCTATTTGCATATTAGGCTTTTATTATATAGGATAAGAACCATTAAAATGATTTACTGCCATTCTCTTGTAGCCTTCTCATCTAAAATTATGTCAGTTTCCCTAGATTTTCTGCCCTCAAAACCAAGAGAGAATAAAGGATGCAGAGACTACTTTACATATTAAATATCAACTATAAGTGAATCCTTTCATTATTTATTTGCCTCACACTGATTCTCAAACTTTCTCACAGCCCATAAAACCCTCTACCATGTCTCTGCAATTTCATCACATGTTAGCCTTTCTCTAATTGATCATAGTCAGCTATTCTCAGAGCCTTATTCATTCCCTTTCCCTCAGGGTTCTCACAAGGCCCTTCCCTGTTCCATGAACTGCTCTTAATCCATACTCTTCCATCATGTTCTCATCTGTGAGACCCAGTTTAAATCTAATCTACGCCAAAAGACTTTGATATCTACTCTGCATCACACTCATTGTTTTTTATAATTATTTTTCGAATACCACTTGTTAAAATGTGTCAATATGGATTCCCTTTTTTACTGATATTTTTTTCATATATAGTAAATTAAAAAAAAAAAAGCAGGGCCTAATTTTATTTACCAACTTTAGTCTACAGCCAGCTCCCAGCACAGTGCCTGAGATCACTATATTAGGTGATATATTAGGTTCTCATTATATTATCTTGAAATGAATGTTTTCCTCCAGATTATTATTTTCCCTAAATTAAGTTTGGAAAATAATTCTGGTATTATGATTACCACCAAATAGATGGAGCTAGCATACTTCCATAACTCCCTTTTTACAGAAAGGATACAATATTTTCCATACTTTTCTAAACTCAGGTGTACATGCCAGAGTCCATTTTGCAAATTGAACTTCATTTAAAAGAGAGCAAACCTGAATATTCACGACCTTATTGTACTAAATATGATGAGATTTTACTTGTGACTCTATTTCCTTTGACTACCTCGTTTTAGTTAACCTGAATAATAAGAGACTAAAAAAGCATTCTAATTAACATGTATTTTAAAAAGTGCCAATATTTACAATTTAGGTAATTCCTTTGTTTAAAACTCCAGCTGTTATTACATGAAAAATATTTATTATTTTTTGTATGCATATCATTTTACTACTTGTTACATAACTTCATCATGATTTCTACACAAGGACAACTCTACCACTTTCATAGCATTATATTTGCTCATACATTGAATCAAAGATGATTTGATGTATTAATGACTCTGTGGAACTATGTAGGCAAAACTCAAAATGCAATAATCCTAGATGAATAGTCATAAAGCAAGTAAGAAGAATAATTAATTATAAAACTCTTTTCCTATAATATTTAAGATTCTTACAATTGAAGTGAAATAATTGCAAAATAAATTAGCTTGGTTTTATTTTTTAAGTTTACGTTTGATTCATGTATCAGAAAAGATCAGTTGTGAATTTGGGACTCAGGCATACCTGGAAACAGTAATGTCAGTGATATTTTTTCTCTTATCCCTGGCATTGTCTTCTTTTGGGCCTTAGTCTTATGTGGACTCAATGCAGACAAGAAGATCTGCAAAAACAACAGATGTAATTTTTTTTAGTCTAACCCTAGGGAAAATAACCGCCACTTTTTTCCAGTAGTTCCAAGAGTCATCATGATGATAGCAACTTAGGTAACTGCCATTTCTTAAACCAAACAAGTCCAGGCCTAAGTCTCACTGCCATGGATGGAGCTAAGTGTCAGCCCCACCCAAACAAGGACTATGAAGGGGATGAATTACTCCCCAGAGGAAAATGAGGGGCTCTTCCTAGAAACAAGGACCCAGGATGCCCAGGAGGCAAAAATACCAAATGATTAACACACTCGTGATCAATTCAATCATATTTCATTTCTAGTGAAAATATACTTATTCATATAAGAAGACTACATGCACACTTTTATTTTATAGTTTAGGTCTGTGATTATTTCTATGTCAACTATGACTTTTATTCCATCCCTACTTCATTTTTGAGACTCCAATTTGTTTTTGGCTTATTTATTACACTACTCCTTGCTAGTGGTTTCTAGCACTAGAAAAAAATTAGCTTATCAGTGGTTTGCTGGCCATGCAGTTTCAGGGGTGTTTTTGTCACCTGTGTTTTGTTTTTGTTTTTTGGGTGTTTTTTTTTGGTATTTATGGCACCTCCCAGATGAGTGCCTTCTTCACTTTAATTACAATCCAGCTTATCCTTCCTTCCAACATCATTTATGAAAATGTTAAATAAGACCAGCCATAATACCTACATCCCTGAAGCATGCTCCTCTATCCTTTTTAACTTGATGCATTGCCATTTATCATTAAATTCCTTTAGCCAATTTAAGCCCCAGAAAGAATGTTAATATTGAGTGCAATTTGAGCTAAATTTTAATTAAGATTCCCTGAGACATGTGTTAAGTGATTTACTATAATCAAAATTGATATCTCCTTTGCTACCCATGTCTTCCAATTTTCTAATTTTATCCACACACAAAAGGGAATGAGTTTGTCTGGCTTGAATAGTTCTCCATAAATATACATCATTCATTTTGACAGATTCTGGAAATAGTTTCCTTCTCCTTTGCCTTTAGGACTATGTCTGTCATTCTCACATAAGCCTTTCCTCTGGCAACCACATCTATCTAGCACCAAATACCTAAGCTTAGATTTAGCTGAATTAATGCCAGCCTCCCAAATTTCTTCTCTCTCTCTCTCTCTCTCTCTTTCTCCTGCTATTTCTATACATATTATCATTCTAAATGAAGTGGGTAATAAAACTAGAAATAGAATATGCACAATATTTTCCGTAGATGGCATGATGGTGTGTGTAAAGCACTTTGCACTTCATCAGGACAATAAATATAAACATTTGAAAGCGCCATTAGTGCCCTAACCAGTTTGGCTCAGTGGATAGAGCATCGGCCTGCGGACTCAAGGGTCCCAGGTTTGTTTCGGTCAAGGGCATGTACCTTGGTTGCGGGCAGGGAGTGTGCAGGAGGCAGCTGATCGATGTTTCTGTCTCTCTATTCCTCTCCCTTCATAATATATATCTAAAAAAAACAAACAAACAAAAAAAAACAACTTGCTATGCAAAATTGAGTTGTTTTTTTGTTTTGTTTTGTTTTTTAAAAAAGAAAGGGCCATTAGTTAAAATCAGGTTCCTGAATTTGAATTCAGCATTCAAGGTAAATATGCACATTCACATTTTATCTGAGTGTCCAGCAGTCCCCCCCAAAGGAGTCTGTTAATGATAAAGAACCACAGTTATCTAGAAGTGACATTCATGGATGAAAATATATAAGAAAATGTCAGTAAATGAAAACATTTTTCTGCAAGCTTATTTATTAAAATCATGTGGGGTTTTTTTTCTTTAGTCAATAGAACACTTTTAATTGCATTTTTCTTATGTGTAAAATGGGGCCACCTTTCTTTTCTCATCCATCACTTTTGGTATGGTAAAAACAGAAAATTTCGTGAATGTTTATAAAACATTTATATGATTTTCCACTAGAATTTATTTCCCCCCCTTAAGTAAATGTATTTTTATCAGGAGCCTTATTTAACGTTAAGTTATTATCTTAATTATGCCATGTGAAACTAATAATGGTTACTCTGTTTACACACAAAAAATGACCCAAATATAGCATTTAACTGATAGATATCATTTTCTCTAAAATAATTATAAATATGTGAAAATTTGCCTTATAGATGCTTATGAAGTATCGTTTCAGGTACTCTGAATTGAATCCCTTTCCTAAAAAAGAAAAAAAGTTTCTTGTGCTTCATATTCTAATTTTTTAGTTATTCTACACTTACAGATGCATTTGCTTGATTTTAAAAAGCTAATACTCTAGGCGTTGTTAATGATTTATAAGTCAGTTTGAACAGATTATAAGAATCTTTCCTAAATCCAATGTACATGAAGGGACTTGAGAATAAAAGAATCTCTGGGAGACAAAAGGGAAAACATTAAGAAATGAGAGCAAAAGGAAGAATGAGAGTAATAAAAGCCAACTCCACCTGTTCCCATTTCTCCAGGCCTCGGTCTGTGTAATATGTGTGTATGTGTCAAGAACAGGAGATAAAATAGAGAAAAAAAATTACATTTTCTATAGGGATATTAGATTAACTTCGGAGCTTTCCTCTTTTTGCCTTTATTAAGTTAAAATAAAGGTAGTCTTCAAGATCCAAAAACTTTTTCTTCAATCACTCTTACAAGAAAAATAAAAGAGAGAGAAATCCTTCCTGCTGCGATTGCTGCAGCAGCATAACCAAACCCGGTCGCCTCGATTCAAGAAAACAAGAGCATATACGCCAAGAAAACTTCCTTCCCTTATTTTCTGTCTTTGAAAGCAAGCTGCTTTTGCTGGGGGGGAAATAACACAATAGTGAAAAGTTAAATCCCAGAGGATTGATGTTGTGATTTTCAATTCCAGCTCACTGCAGTGGACGCAGACGAAGGGTCGAATGGGGAGATCTCCTATGAAATCCTGATTGGGGATCAGGGAGACTTCATCATCAATAGAGAAACAGGGCTTATCACCATCGCTCCAGGGGTGGAATTGATAGTTGGGCGGACCTACGCGCTCACCGTCCAGGCCGCGGATAATGCTCCTCCTGCAGAGAGAAGGTAATTTACGTTAGAACCAAAGCAGTGTTTTCATCGCTCCCATTTAACCCAGTAATTAAATTTAAGAAGCACAGCAAGCATCCTTTCATCCTATGAACATCTAAATTAGATCAGAAAATCAGAGAGACCGGATTCTTAGGAATTGCATATCCTTATTCGGTTCAGTTGTGGGAAGAGGAAAGTAAAGAGAAGATTAAACCACAAAATAATTAACTATAATTTCACAGATATGAAGGATGCAGGTCTCTGTTCAGGGGCAGGGGGAGTGCAGAGTGGAAACTGGAAAATATCAGAGACATGTATCTAATTTACTACTGAAAAGCAAGGTTGATGATAGTGAGACCTCAGAGAGCAGTAATACGGAATGTCTCAGATTTGAAGCCATGTCTCAGTGTCTGGGTAATTATTAAAATATATATATTCTACCTATATACAAATATATACACATAAACATATATATATATTCTACCTATAGAATTTACCATTTATCTATAGAATATTATCAATCTACACTGAGTGGCCAGATTATTTTGACCACCCCATCAGTACAATGAAGTGAATTAGTTATGCAAATAATAATAATAATAAAACCTTGAGAGTATTTGCTTAGGAAGTTTTCAATATTCAGTATTTTTGGAAGGGGCAATGAAGTACTGATGGGATGGTCATAATAATCTGGCCACTCAGTGTATATTCTCTGTGTACATACTCAGCTAGATATTGTGAGAGGGTAAAAAGCAAAACTTCTCACTATTACAATTGCATTTATCTAGTCATCCACCTGAGCTATCCCTTTTATTAATGTCTTGCTTATTTCCAGATTTTCTGTATGCATTTCAAGAAAATGTGAATGAATATAAATGCATTTCTGCACCTTGCTGAGTTTTTTTCTCCCTCACAATATATCCTGGATTATCTTTCTTTATGAATACTGAATACTTCCCTTAAAACTTTTTCACAGCTACATAATATTCCTTTATATGTAGATAATACTCTTTAAAAAATTCACTGCAGATGGGTTTTTAAATTTCAGTTGCTCTTTTACCGACAATAAATAAATAAATAGCATTGAGCATACATCATTTTCTATGTGGGCACGTATATCAATAGAGTAACTTCCCAGAAACGAAGCCAAAGGGTATATGCACTTGTAGGTTTTAGCAATAACTGCCAAATTGTATTTTGTAGGTCTTAAAACAATTTAAAATTCCAGTTGCCAAGTTGAGAATGATTAATTTTACACAGTCTCCTAGATGTGTGTCACATCAAATATTTGGTTTTTTGCAAATCAGATAGGTAAAAAATAGCACATTTCATATCCATTTGTTTATGAGTTTGAGTACAATTCTTATGTTTAAGAGCCAGTTCTATTACTTTTTCTGTAAAATCTGTGTTCCTAGTCATTACCCATCTTTCTATTGATATGTAAGCCCAGGTAACAATTATTGTAGGTTTTCTCCTAGTGATTTATTAGCTTCATGCCGTATGTTTAAATCTTTGTTGTATTAGGGATTTATCCTACTGTATAGTGAGTGGTATTGATCCAGCAAGATTTTTTTAGGAAATTTTGCCATTTTCTCCACTCAGTACTGGGTGTAGCTAGAGTAGGTTTACAGGTGTGAGTACATGAAATAGCTTATTTTTGTATTATTATTAATTATTGTATTATTTTACATATGAACAAATGTAAATGTACTCTTGTCCCACCCTTTATATTAGTGAGTTCATCTTTTTCTCACTAATTATAAATGTTACAGCTATTATATCATGCATTTTCTTATGTATATGAATTTGGCTCTAGACTTGTTCTTCTATTCCATTAGCTGACCTATTTTTTCATGAGTAATTGTCACACAATTTTAATTGTTCAGGTTTTAAACTATGCTTTATGATATGGTGGTGCTACCTTACCTGAATGCTGTTTTTCCTCAAAAATTTCCTGGTTAATCTTTCTGTTATTTTCCTTTCCTTTAAGTTTACACAAGTTAGTTCAGTGTTGTTGTTTTTTTTAACTATATATGTATGTGTATATATGTGTGTGTGTGTGTGTGTGTGTATTTAAATATAGGTATTTTTGAATATATTTTTATTGATTTCAGAGAAGGAGAGAGATATAGAAACATACATGATGAACAAGAATCATTGATTGGCTGTCTCCTCCATACCCCACAATGAGGATTGAGCCTGCACCTTGGGCATTTGCCCTGACCAAGAATCGAATGCTGACCTCCATGTTCATAGGTCAAAGCTCAACCACTGAGCCACGCTGGCCAGGCTTACCTATATTTTTATTGAGAACATATCAAATTTATAAATTAACTAGAGGCCCGGTGCACAAAAATTTGTGCACTCGGGGGGCGGGGGGAGGGGGGTCCCCCAGCCCGGCCTGTGCCCTCTCGCAGTCTGGGACCCCTCGGGAGATAACGACCTGCTGGCTTAGGCCTGCTCCCGGGTGGCAGAGGGCAGGCCCAATCCCTAAGTGCAGCCCCTGGTCAGGCTCAGAGCAGGGCCGATTGGGGAGTTGGGGCACCGCCCCCCATCATGCACAGAGCAGGGCGGATCGGGAGGTTGCGATGCCACCCTCAGTCACGCTCAGGGTAGGGCCGACTGGGGGGTTGGGGCACTGCCCCCTGTCACAC